CTCGACTGTTTTATACGTAAATAATTGTGTAAAACACAACATGTTTTAACTATAATTTCAGTATTCGCCAGAGATAGGTCCATAGTTCTTCTCAAGATACGAAATCTACTACCCATTATGCCGAAGGCATTTTCTACAACTCTTCTAGCTCTGCAGATTCTGTAATTAAACACTCTTTCCTGTACTGATAATTTTTTGGCTCTTGGATAGGGCTTCATAATATTATTACACAATGAAAACGCATCATCTCCTATTAAAAAGTATGCTATATTTTTATCAATTCCGGGTAATGTGGATGGATCAGGAATCTTTAATTTGTTTCCAGTATTCAAAGCTTCATATAAAGTACTATTTTTATATACGCCACCATCAGATATACGTCCATTGCATCCTACATCTATATAAACAAATTTATAATGAGCATCTACCACAGCTAAGAGTACAATGCTATGAAACCCTTTGTAGTTGAAATACATAGATCCTTCATTGAGTGGGGCAGTAATGGCTATATGTTTTCCGTCAATAACCCCCAGGACGTGTGGAAAGTTTCATAATTCTTTAAAAATTTTTGCAATCTCTAACCACTCATCTTGTGTAGATGGCACCTACAACAACAAAAAACACACTTAATAAAAGTATCAATTTTCTCTTTTGTTTTCTAGGCAACTGTTGTCACCGAAATAGAAAACAACCCTCTTGTAGAAAGCCAGCGTTCAAATACCTCAAAAGCTTGTGCTACACCAACAATACATCCTGAGGATCCCCGAATAAAGAAAAAAAAGCAAGAGGACCATCGAAGCATAACCATTGGAAGATGTAGCACTAAGAACGGCTATAACACATTTTGCACAAATTGGACAACAAAATGATTAGTTTGAAGCTTTTGGAAGTTCTGTTGCTGCTAAGTTACGTGCTTTACCAATAATTGATGCCCTTGAACTTCAAATGGAGTTACAACAATTAATCACCCAAAAACGTATAAAACTTCTACGAAAAACTCCATCTGCACCGTCTCCCTACGCAAGTAATCAGTCGCCGTTGTCGAGTAACAATGAGAAATTATCGTCAGTGAAATCTCCCTACTCAACTAATGAATATTTGCCAAGTCAGTCCCCTTTTCATAATACTGAGGACATGTCACAATTGTTACAAAATGACCAGCACCAGGATATATTAAGTGAGTCACTAAGAGAAGCAGATATTACTGATTCATACCCTTATGAATACATAAAAGATGGATAAACTATATCAATAAAAAATATTTTTGTAGTTTGTATTAATTCGTCTTTATTTTTCACTTACCTTCATATATTTCGGTTGCAAAGTGGTATAAATTGCACTACAAACTTGAGGAATTACAGTTGATATTGTACTTCTTCCAACTCTAGATAGATACTCCAGGGATTGGTGGCTATCTCCAGTAGCCAAATAGCGCAAAGTTATTGCTAGTTTAACCTTGGAGCTGATAGCATTTCTCATAACAGTGTCCTGACAGATAATCTTTTCTCTAATCTATAAACAATCAAATAAAAAATACTGAACAACATACACTGATATGTACACTTACCTGTTCATGTAGCTCCAGAAATTCGTCATGTGATACTCGCAAAAAATTGTGGTACTTCTTATTATCTGCATTTAAAAGGTCATTTAATAATTTATTTTCAATGCAATAACTGTGCCTATCTAACAAAAATCGGCTAACCCAAACACGGCGAGATTTTTTGTTTGCCACTGCTTTCGAAGTTGTTATCCTTTTTTTTTCTCTTTATTGCTTAATAAATTGTAAATAATAGTGACACTGCAGCACGTATTCTTCTGTTATTCGCCATTTTTAAAATAAACTATTATACAAGTTGTTGGATACACTATTTACCAATACTTCTTAATAACTACTTCTATAGCTACATTTCATAATAGTTACTTTTATGCTACTATTATCGTCTGACGCTGCCTTAACATACAGCCTAGGTGGCACGTGATCGTAACCCTTCAGTCTGATAGGCTGAAAGGGAGAACGTGAGATCTGCAAATTAATACTGCGGAGAATGTTAGTTTTGGGATAATAACGCGATTTTTATTCATTAATTTGTACAAGAGACTGTTAGTTCTGCTCTCTCAAACTTTAAAAAATTCTGTATTTCAATGTGGAGAATACGAAGGAACTTTTGCATTGCATCTATACGCTTCAAATGTTTGTTGTTTCTACTCCAATTGTGCAATTTTATTATTTATATAGTTGCAAATACTAATTTTACTACATAATGTAACGTAAAACTGCTTTCAAATTAGGTTATTAAGAAGAATACATATTTTGTTATTGAATTACCTGGCCTAAAAACGGGGAAGTATGGGCAAGGGGAAAAAGGTCTAATGACATCGCTTATCCACAATTCGCAGCTTGTGTTGCTCCAGCTAATTTGGCATTTGGCGGTTATTTTCTTCGTCTAGATGTCTCTACAATTTATAACCATTAACTCGGCGTGAATATTTTAGTAGAAAAAAGCAGCTTCATTTAGCTTTATATATATATATATTTCTTTGCAGAGTTGTTGTTCAGTGCGTCGTAAGTTCTTATAAAGGTAAAAGTCAGATATTATAATATGCTCAGACGCATCAGCTGCAGAGAGTTAAGCACCACTTCTCTTTACGATAAAAACAATCAAATTACAAAATTTTGTAAAAGTAGGAAATAAATAATGCTTTTTTTGAGCTAAATAAAGTCCAAGTTTAAATTTCTTTTAAGGAGAAAAACTAATGTGGATTATAGCTGCACAACTAAAAGTGACCGAATTTAAAATATTTCTTTTAGTAAATGCTTCAATGTTCTAAAAAAAAGAAAGAAGAACGCCCATAATCAAAATATTGACGAAAGTAGAATTAAATCTAAGAGTATATAATGGTTCCATTATTTCGTTAGCAGATTTTCTTTTCCATGTGTCGTTTGTTACTGTTTCTCAGGTAGAGGAGAGAAGAGTATACTGTAGGGATGGCGGTTTTTGACAAAAAAAATATAAAGATAATTAATTTTTATATTATAAATATAAAGTTTACTTGATTTGCTATATGGTTAAAATTACTACCTTTTGTTAAGATAATTAGATCATCTGCATATGACAGAAGAACACAATTTTCAGGTATTATTGTGTATATATTTTTAAGATAAATATTGAATAATATTGGGCTTAAAGGTGAGCCTTGTATTAGACCTTGTGTAGTATGCGATGGTCCAACCATTTCGTGATAATGATTTTTAACATATAGAGTCCTATTGTTTAAGAATTGAAATATAAGGTTATTGATGTCTATTGGAATATGAAGGTTATTAAGAAGTCTGTATAGTATGTAAATATTCACATGATCGAAAGCTGCTTTAATATCTAAGAAAGTAGCATTTACATATTGGTTTTGTGAGAAAGCCAATTGAACATAAGTATTTAAATAATTTAAATTATCATTAACTCCCATACCTTTTCTAAATCCTACTTGAAATTGGCTAAAGGTTTTTTGATTTTCCACGATCCAATCCAGTCTATTTTTAATCATTGATTCTAGTAGTTTTACTACACATGATGAAAGTCCCAGAGCCCTATAATTTTCTGCTCTTAAATTATAATTTTGAATTTTGTTGTTCTTAGGAATACTTATAATAATCTGAGTTTTCCACTCATTGGGAATCAGTTCACCTTCTTTAACCTTGTTGTATAAATTTAGTAGCCACCTCAGCCCTATTTCAGGTAAATGTTTTAACATATTAAAGTTAATATTATCAAGACCTGGTGATGTGTTTTTCTTTAAAAAAAGACTATTTTTTAATTCTGTGAGATTGAATTCACTAGACAAGTGATCAATGGTCTGTAATTCAAAATCCGGTTCAATATTAGTTACTGAAAGGTTAGTTAATATTTCATAACTTATTTTTTCATTGGGAAGTTTATTGTTTGATGGTTGAGAGAATGCATTTTTAAATTTTCTTATAGTTTGCCAAATAGAGCTGATGTCTACATTTCTATTAATATTCCCACAATATTCCATAAACTTTTGCTTCTTTATTGTTTTTAGAAGTCGTTTTGATTTAGCAATTATGTGTTTTGCATTGATATAATTATTAAGATTAAAATTATTTTTAAATTCCTTTAACGCCTCTTTTCTTTTATTTATTATTTCAGTGCATTCCTGGTCCCACCAAGGTACTCTTTTTTGATATTGCAGTTTTCTTATGCCTATGCTTTGTTTATTTGGAATAGCAATTTCTACTGCTTGGTTAATTATACTTGTGAAGTGGTCATAGGATTGATTTTCTATATTTAAATGTTCTTCTATGTATTTACTATACTTGTTCCAATCAATTTCTCTAATTTTGTTTCTAAAATTTAAGTTTTTATTGGTTGTAATGCTTTTTCCTTCACTATAATTAATTTTCATTAGAATAATTG